TCAACCAAAAATAATCTGAAGAAAAAATATTAAATAATGACGGAAAAGTAAAAAAATAAAAAACAGCCACTTGAATGTGTCAGAACTCAAGTCCCCAAACCAGCCTCTCCCAGCTAACCAGCCTCCACCACGGACCACAACTCCCAGCATGCCCCTCGCAGGGATTCCCTCCACGTCGCACCTACGTCACGAACCGCGACTATATACGGAAGTCGCCTCCCCAGCTCATCGCTCAGGCATCATTTCTTCGGATCTATGATCAGAGTTTCCAAGCCACCTATCCATCTCACAAACTCTCAGCTCACAGTAAGTGTTCTTACTTACTTCTGGAAAACCCAGCATTTCCTTGTCACTTCACTGATGCTCGAACGCTCGGGGATTCCTAGATTAAACCGAGAGCCGGCGTTTCACCGACGCTATCACTTCCGCGTCTGTGAGACCACTCTCTCCACAAGCTCAACGCCCGTCTCCAGCCGACCGGTCTGACAGGATGACTGAGTCCATTAACCCCGCAGAGTCTGAGCAAATGAAGAAGGAGATAGTTCAACTCCACGCCTTGGTCGATCGGCTCAACACCAGGGTGAACTCCCTGACCGACCTCATCCTTCAGTTGACCACATCCCTCAATGCTCTCCAGCAGCAAGCCCTCGCTCCACCTAAGGAGGAGCCGCAGTTCAGCCTACCGGAGAGGTGGAATGGAGAGGTTGGGAGCCCAGATGGTCTGCTCGCCTCCCTCGATATGCAATTCGAGTGCCAACCAGGACGCTTCCCCACTGCCCGCTCTCGGGTTGCGCAACTCACCTCCCTGCTTTCTGGACGTGCTCAGGAGTGGGCCGCGGCTCTTTATAATTCTAAATCCCCTGCCTGCAATGACTATGCTGCTTTTGTGGCCACCCTCAGGAAGACCTTTGTTCCACCCAGTAGCGAAGTGGGGGCTGAAGCACGTCTCTTAAAGCTCCGCCAACGTGAACGCTCTGTCTGCGCCTATGTGTCAGAGTTTCGCACCATTGCAGCCAAGCTACAGTGGGATGACTCTGCCCTTCGAGCTGTCTTCTTGGAGGGGTTGGCGCCCTACATCCGTGATGAGATGGCGGGAAGAGAACTGCCCCAAACCCTGGAAGAAGTTGCTGACCTGGCGCTGTGCATCGACCCAGGTCCTCCACTCGCCCACTCAGAGCTCCTGGACCTCCTCCTCGTTCACCAGTGCCAGCTTCCGGACCCACTTCAACTGAGGAGCCTATGCAGCTAGGCCACCTTCCCCCGGAGGAGAGACAGCGAAGGTGGCGCGAGGGTCTCTGTACCTATTGTGGCTCTCCCGACCACCGGCGCCTGGACTGCCCATTACGGCCGGGAAACGGAGGAACCCACTCAGTATCAGGGTAGCTCAGCCCGGGTCACCCTCTGCCCCTACCTCCTCCCACCGACTCCTCCTTCCTGTCACCCTCCTACACGACGAGACCTCACATCAGGTACATGCTCTGGTGGACTCGGGGGCCACCGACAACTTCATGGATGTGGATCTGGCTAAACGCCTACGGATCCCCCTGACTCCCCTGGAACGAGTTGTTCCGGTGACCTTGGTGGACGGCAGACCTGTCCAGCCCTATCTTGTCCAAGACCGAACTGAGTCACTCCAGATGATCACCCACGGCCACCAGGAGACCCTCCACTTTCTCATCATCTCCGCTCCCTCCTCTCCTCTAATCTTTGGGTTCCCCTGGCTCTGTCTCCACGACCCCCAGATTTCCTGCTCCCAGAACCCCCTTTTAGGCTGGGGAACCCAGTGCCAGGCCCACCTCTCTGCTCCTCCGTCCATGGCAGACTGCCCGGCTGGTGGTCTTGGTCCTCTACCGCCCAATCTGCCACTACCCTATCGAGACCTGGCCGCAGTCTTCGATAAGCAACGCGCCACCACACTGCCGCCTCACCGCCAATATGATATGGAGATCAGGCTACAACCAGGTGCCAGTCCTCCCCGTGGGCACCTTTTCTCTCTCTCTCCCTCCGAAACTAGAGCTATGGAGGACTTTATCAACCAGGCCCTCCAGCAGGGTTTCATCCGGCCCTCCTCTTCCCCGGGTGCTGCAGGCTTCTTCTTTGTGAAGAAAAAGGAAGGTGACCTCCATCCCTGTAAAGACTACCGGGGTCTAAACAAGATCACTATCAGGGACCGCCATCCCCTGCCACTCCTCACGACTGCTCTGGACTCCATCTCGCAGGCGCGGATATTCACAAAGTTGGACCTCCGGAGCACCTACAATCTGGTCCGCATCAAAGCTGGGGATGAGTGGAAGACCGCATTCATCACCCCCACCAGTCATTGGGAGTACCAGGTCATGCCGTTCGGGTTGTGCAATAGCCCCGCCGTTTTCCAACGCCTCATTAACGATGTCCTCCGCGACATGCTGGGCCGGTGGGTGTTTCCCTACCTGGATGACATCTTAATTTACTCCAAGTCCGAGGCCGAACACCTCCACCATGTTCGTGCCGTCCTGACCCGGCTCCTGAGCAACAACCTATACTGCAAGCTGGAGAAATGCTCTTTCCACCAGCGGACCATCTCATTCCTGGGCTTCATGATCTCGGATCAGGGCATAACCATGGACCCTCAGAAGGTCCAGGCGGTTGGTTGCTGACTGGCCCCTTCCTACAAGCTTAAAACAGCTACAGAGTTTTCTGGGCTTCTGCAATTTTTACTGCCGTTTTATTAAGAACTTCAGCACCATTGTGGCACCGCTCGCCTCCCTCACCCGACCAAGCCCTCCCGGCCAACCGTTCCGTCTGACACCAGACGCCATTCGGGCCTTCCGCCACCTGGTCACCCGGTTCACATCGGCCCCTATCCTCCGCCATCTAGTGACTACGGAGCCCTTTGTGGTCGAAGTCGATGCCTCGGACGTCGGTGCCGGTGCCATCTCGTCCCAAGGCGGGCCCGACGACAGACTCCATCCCTGCGCCTACTTCTCCAGAAAGTTTTCCACCACCCAGCAGAATTATGGCGTGGGTGATCGGGAACTGCTGGCCATAAAATGGGCGCTGGAGGAGTGGAGACAGTGGCTTCTAGGCACCACCCAGCCTTTCACTATCTGGACGGACCACCAGAACCTGACTCACATCTGATCCGCCAAGCAGCTCAATCCTCGCCAGGCCCGCTGGGCCCTCTTCTTCCAGCCCTATGACTTCCATCTAGCCTACCGCCCTGGAACTAAGAACCAGAAGGCCGATGCCCTCTCCCGCCAGTTCACACACTCCACGCCCACGTCCGAGCCTGCACCAATTCTCCCAGAGCACCATTTTCTGGCCTACCTAAGGTGGCCGTTGGAGGAGGCTATCCAGAATGCCCTCCGGGATGACCCTGCACCTCCAGAGACCCCTACGGGTCGCCTCTATGTCCCTACCTCATGTCGCAGCGAGGCGCTCTCCTGGGCTCACTCCTCACGCCTGTCTGTCCACGCGGGGTTCTCTCAAACCCTGAGGTTCCTCCAACGAGCACTCTGGTGGCCTTGCATGGCGAGATGTTAAGGAATACACTAGCGCCTGTGACATCTGCGCCCGCTCCAAGACACCCAGCCAAGCCCCTGTTGGTGTCCTCTAACCTCTTCCGGTGCCCAGCCGTCCTTGGTCCTACGTGGGTCTAGATTTCGTGACAGGACTCCCCCCGGTCGACAACCTCAACACGGTCCTCACAGTCACTGACCGGTTTTCTAAGGCGGTCCACTTCATCGCCCTTCCGGGTCTCCCTTCGGCCCGACGGAACTGTTCTTGGAGAATGTGGTGCACCTGCATGGCTTCCCTGTCGATGTAGTCTCCGACCGGGGTCCCCAGTTTACGGCCCGATTCTGGAAAGCCTTTTGCCACCTAATGGGAGCATCGGTCAGCCTATCCTCAGGCTATCACCCGCAGACAAATGGTCAGACGGAGCGGGCTAACCAACAGCTGGGTCGGTACCTCCGGTGCTTTGTCTCGGCCCAACACTTGCAATGGCCTAAATACCTCCTCTGGGCAGAGCTGTCCCACAACCTTCACACCTCTTCAACCACTAATTTGTCCCATTTTGAGGTCTGCTATGGCTACCAACCCCCGGTCTTCGCCCACCAGGAGCCCAAAGTAGCTGTACCAGCTGCGCAATCCCTGGTGAGGCGCTGCAAGAATGCCTGGATCAAAGCACGGGCTTGCATCACCCGAGCCAATGCCCGTTACGCTCGCCAACATCTCCGCCGACACCGTCCTGGTCCCTCCTATGTCCCTGGAGATAAGGTCTGGGTGTTCACCGTGCTGGGTCCAAAAAGCTCTCTCCCCGGTTCCTTGGGCCTTACACAATACAGAAGGTCATCAACCCAGTCTCGTACCGGCTGCAGTTACCAGCGTCTCTCTGCATTCATCCCACCTTCCACGTCTCCTGACTCAAGCCCTATGTGGAATCCCCCCTGCTTCCGCCTCCGGCTCTGGCGCCTCCGCCTGCCCGCTTCCTTGACGGTGAGCCCATCTACACCATCCGGCGCATCCTGGACGCCCGTCGCAGGGGTCGGGGATGGCAGTACCTCATGGACTGGGCGGACTACGGCCCCGAGGAACGCTCCTGGGAACCGGCCCGCTCCATCCTGGACCCTGCCCTGATCTCTGACTTCTGGGACCGCCGGGGCCGCCCTGGGACTTCAGGAGCCGTCCCTGGATGGGGGGGGGGGGGGGGGGGGGGGGGTCCTGTCAGAACTCAAGTCCCCAAACCAGCCTCTCCCAGCTAACCGACCTCCACCACGGACCACAACTCCCAGCATGCCCCTCGCAGGGATTCCCTCCACGTCGCACCTACGTCACGAAACGCGACTATATACGGAAGTCGCCTCCCCAGCTCATCACTCAATCGTTTCTTCGGATCTATGATCAGAGTCTCCAAGCCACCGATCCATCTCACGAACTCTCAGCTCACAGTAAGTGTTCTTACTTACTCCTGGAAAACCCAGCATTTCGTGTCACTTCATTGACGCTCGAACGCTCGGGGATTCCTAGATTAAACCGAGAGCTGGCGTTTCACCGACGCTATCACTTCCGCATCTGTGAGACCATGCTCTCCACAAGCTCAACTCCCGTCTCCAGCCGACCGGTCTGACAGAATGACTGTATCTGTAGGTGGCCAAAAGGGTTTTGTCTTCTGTTTTATAAAAAGAGAAAAAAGAAATGTTTATAAGACATTTAGTATTTGAAAAGAGAAATAGTTATTCACCGGAAATATGCAAATAGAAAATAAAAATAAATCATCTACTGAGCAAATTCTCAGAGGAGAGCATATTTAGTGGTTTGCGCTTCCACAGATTGTGATTTTGCTTTATTGAACTTTATTATTGTGCCCAAATTAAAACTGTAAATCACATAACAGAGTCACACAGTGAATATGTGAGAAGAGTTTTGGTATTTGTCAAAATACTTTACCATCTTTCCATTCGTAAGAAAAATGAAAAGCCAATTGTGTTTCAAATTAAACAGAAACACGTTTAACATTGAATAAGGATAAGAATCGATAGTCAAGTTTAACAATTATAGAAGTTTTTTATCTAATCAAAGTGAAGAACAAGTTAAATGTTTCAATCCTTTTCAGAAAAAGTGGATATTCTTTTTCACTAAAGGCTAGAAGTGAATTGTGTTTCTGTGTAGGTGAGATTTCTTTTAAACGAAGACCATAAAAACAGTGGTTAAATTTGTTGGATGCCAGCTCTGCAACTTTCTAGATGATTTGCAGTGACTAAACATCAAATTTGTTGAATTTTCAGGAGGTATCAGCCTTTTTTCTTGCACCTATTCCTTAAGTTTTCTAGCTCACAAAAATTGCTGAATGGTTATAAAACAGGAGTAAAGTGTGCTGAAAATTCAGCTGCGGTTACAAATCATAAAGCTTCACAAATCTGCTTCCTAAACGTTATCATTTCTACTTACAAAGACCACATGTCAGAGTTTAGCTCAAGTCAAATATTCACCCGCACCTCCTCAGATGACCCATGACCTCCCATTATCTCCAAGAATCAACCGGCAGCAAAACTGAACGACTATGTCTCATGACCAGATCAGTGACTAAACACAAAGGTTAGAATATGTATTGTTTGTGTTGTGTGCTGAGGGTGCAGTAAAACATGCACACATATGTACAACTGCTGATGTAAAAGAAATATCCTGAAGCTCAAATGTAACAATCACAAGTCAGAACCAAGAAGCCCCAAAGAGCCACACAGCAGCAAGAAATCCTGCAATCGCAAGCAAAAAAAAAAAAAAGAAAAAAATCTAAAGGAGTTTCTGCTCCACATGCAGAGGAGAGGACACGTCTAACCTCTCAGGAACTCTGCTCATAAAAAGGCCATTAAAATTCTTAGATTACAACACAGGTCTTTCATCGCATTCTGCTAATGTTCTAATAGCTTTCAATCAGGGCTGAGAAGGATTTTCATGTGGGTGTTAGCACATCAATCACAAAACTGCTAATTGCGTCTTTGTAGTCATTTTGATAACCAGAAAATTGATTCAAATATTCTTTTTATTTGAAGGTTACCTGTTGTAGATGGCTCTTTGACTTAAGTCATTTTAGAGAAATAAAGCTAAATTTGGAACATGATGATGAGCTATTAGCTAATATCTGTGGATAAACAAAACATTTACTGCTGTTCAGTGGCGGCTGGTGAAAAATATTTTTGGTGGGGCTGTGCTATTTTTTTTAAACAAACTTGTGCTTTCTGAGCTTTGTGCACAACTTCACTATTTCCTGAATTAAGCACAGCTCTTTTATTTCCTGTCTTACATTATTGGACAAACTGATTAATCCAGGTGTGTCTGACTATTGGCACGCTGCCTTGCGGACCAAGGTTGAAAAATACTGCATTAAATTGCACATAAAATAACATGACCATAAATGGTAAATAGGCAATGAAAGATGCAAGTAGCAAAAACATTTTGTTTAATTTCAACATTTGAGTGAACACGAAAAATTATGAGCAGGTCACTGTTACAGTAATGGTAGTAAACACTACTTAGACAAAATGCCAGAAATTTACACTGTTAGGACTTATGGAAAGTGGAAACACTTTCATAGGAAATATTGTCATCAGTATCCTCTTACAAATGTCATATTTCCCACTTTTTGGGACAATAAAACATTTCTGGTTCTCAATGAGATGTTTTTACTTCAAATGTAAAAACATCTCATTGAGAATCAGAAATGTTTTATTGTCCCAAAAGCTGGGAAATGTGTTTGCTGCAGCAGAAGTGTAACAAGTAAAATGGAATCAGATTGATGTATGTACAAATTTACTTGAAATACACATTTACATGATTAAATATGTATAATAGGTATGTGTGTTGAAATTAGTTTTTACAGTTATTGCACATTAAACAATGTACATGTTATTAAACAAATGTCCCGGTTTGTGGGACAACCAAGGATTTCTGATTCTGATTGTCTTGTTTACAGAAATGTAATGTACAGCTTACCTCTGCACCCAACTGCTGTTCTCCCTGTCCAAACGTCCTCCGTTTCTTTGTTGGCTGCTGCACTGATGCGCTGCATTCCTCAGTCAGAGAATGAATGGAGTCCCCAATGAGACACAAGTTCCACATCCACCTTCTGTGGATCCCAGCCGTTTTGAATAACAAACACAGAAAGCAAAATAACGCATTAGCGTGATTGCATCCAGCTAGCCACTGCTTCCTGGTGTACCAATTTTGGGAGAAGCGTCGTGTGTACAGTTTACCCTTCTCCTTGTCCTGCTGGCTTATCTTTATGCCGGGCTGATCTGGTCCAAGCTCTTTGACATTAAGTTTTTCCACCATAGTTCTCCTCTCGAACGGATACTGGAGAAGAGACCAAACTGAATTCAGTGGCTGCTGAGATCCGGTATCCATGTTGTAGGCGCACTGGCGTCCATGTCTACGTCTGCGTCATGACCGTCACGAGTCACGACCAAAAACGTGCTGGAGTCGAGACTCTCCGAGTTCTACCGAACACCAACGAAAGCCTTGGCGGTAGTTCTATCGCCCATCATGCTTCTGAAACGTTCAGAAACAACGTTGACGCTGATTGGATACATTCCCATTCCTACCCTTTGATTTTCTTGTCAGCAATTGGACAACTGGTCCCGTCTTGTTTGGGCGATTGAAAAACAGCACACAGCCTCCACCACTCGGCAGAGAGCGGCAGAGACCAATATAGATATATATTTATGATTTATTTTTGTTACAAAACACACAATTAACTTAGAATATGTGATTATTGTTAATTTTATTTATTTATTTTTTTAAATAAAAATTAAAAACACAGGGGAAACTGGGAGGGCGGCACCCTATCGCCCTCTACTGGCCAGCCGCCACTGCTGCTGTTATTGTTTATTTCAAGGTTTGAGATCTTTTATTTTCCATATTTTCATGAAACCTACCATCCAGCCCATTGGAATTCTTGTGCAGAACTGTCTTTGTAAATATTTAAAGGGAAAATGACGAACAAAATATTCCAAAAACTTTGCATCAGCTAGCTGTAGCACTTCCAGTGCAGCCTCCAGCCTGTCGGACAGGATTACCAGAGCTCTCAAGTTTTCAAGGTTCAGGGTGAGATTAGGTCTGCTGGGCTTGGAGGAACAACAGGTTTGTATGTTTTGGCTTCAGCCACCTCCTGCCTCACTCTGCTCTCCTAGCTAGTTTGCACAATGAGAGAAATATGCCAAATTTTACATGCTTCTTATTGCAAACAACCACAAATAGTAATGTTTATAGCTGATTTATTTATTTATCCTTTTTGCCAAATACAAAAAGTATGTTTTATAATTACAGTTGGTCAGACAAATACATCTCACCATTTTTCTGTTACAACCTACCTCCCACAATCCTGGGAATTTTTGGAAGGCAACATAGATGTCGCAAAAATTGCAGGCCACCCTCATCCACCAGGAGCTGGCACCAGAAGTGAGAAAATCCTCATTGAAAGTTAGTGTGGAACATTTGAATAAAAAGCTATTTAAAAATAATTATACCTCTACGAGGCGTTCAGAGGTGTGCAGAATGAATGTAGAGTTGCTCCTTTAAAAGCTTTATTTCAAAAGATAGATGATCACATTTTTATTCTGTCGGGCACGACACTGTGATTATGTTTGCATCTAAAAGCCACTAGAGGGCACTTTTGTTCTGCCTACCCAGTCTCTCAGCCTCTCCAATAGCAGGTGATGGTCAACAGTGTCAAAGGCTGCCGTCAGGTCCAGCAGGACCAGAACAGAACAGTCCCCTGCATCACTGTGAGTCAGAAGGTCATTAGAGACCCTAAGAAGAGCTGTTTCAGTAGGATGAGCTCTACGAAAACCTGACTGAAAACTTCAGTAGATGTTATGTTCATATTTATTGTGAGTTGTTTAATCACAACCTTTTCAAAGATCTTAAAAATTAAGGGAAACGTGGAGATTAGTCTGAAGCTGTTATGGAGAGACGGGTTGAGATTGGATTTCTTTGGCTTATGCATTATGCAATCAAAGACCTGTATTTTAAATCATTTTAAGAAAGCATAATAAGTGAAGAGGCATTGGATTTTTTTAAATATAGCCTACATTCACATTTGGAATAATGTTACTGAATGTTTAATGCTAATGTTTTTTGTAAGCTTTGAATAAATTTCCTTCCACCCTCTAAAAGATGTGGGCTGGTTTGTTTTTTAAAAACAAAATGATTTTAATGTATTCCTCTCTGAGAAAAAGAAAGTCCCTTTATTAAAATGTCTTTGACCTGAACAGTGTTACACACACACTGAGTTTTAACGCTCTGACACAACGTTCTATGTATAACACAAACAAGCAGTTCAAGCATTTTTTATTCCTTTTAAATCATTATTACGAATAAATCAGTTAAAAGGCATCAAATCTTACATCATGAAAGCCAAACATTGAGTATATTTTTGCATTAAACAGCGTGATAGAGTCACAGGTGAGTAAACTGCGATTCTGTTGCATCATTCCACTGAAAGAGCCACACTTGATCTCAAAACCTTATCAGAACTGTCTGCGGATGATGTGATCCTCTATTGAGCTTCGAAAATCCTTTTATCACTCACCTCTCTGCAGATCAGTCAGTGCTGCTGGAACCAGCAGGAACTCAACAGAAAAGTTACCCTGCTGTCAGTAATACTGTGTTTAATCTTTTATCCCACGTGGTGACATTCAGCCAGCGCATCCTTCAGTAACACTGAATCCATGTGCTACAACTACACACGTCGTAAACTTAGAGAGCATTAACACAGAACATGTAGACATCCAGCGGCATTTGGTGTAGCAGATTTTTTTGGGGCTGTGCCAGTCCTCGGAAGCCAATTTGCATCCATTTGGGTTTGTGTTTCTTTGGTACATCCTGACAAATCTACCAGTCATGCTTCATTAAACATTATTTTAGTTTCTCTACTGACTCTGGAGGGAGACATCGCATGCTCATTAACTGGTAGCTAACGTGTCTGCCTGCTGTGTGAGTCTGGGCAGCTAGGACTACAAATGGCTGCCTGCTGAAGTAAAAACAGAAAACTGAGAATGGCAGAAATCAATTAGTCAAAGTTAGCAGCCATTGTTGCTAGATCAGTTGTAATCTGTTAATATTAAGAATTTATGTTGTAGATGACTCCAAACTGCTACCACATAAGATTCCAGCTCAGTGTCTGTAAAGTAGGGCTGCAACTAACGACTATTTTAATAGTCGATTAGTCACCGACTATTGAAACGATTAGTCGACTAATTGGATAATTATTAATTTTTTCTTGAATTTAGCATGAGATTGCTTTAATTATGTGAAAAATGATAATAAACACAAGAAAGATGGGTACTTCAATGGAAAATGCATATTTTTATTGAACTTTGCTGCTGATAGGCCAATTCATACCAACAGTAAATAAAAATGCCCTGTCTAACACCAATTAGGCACAGCGCTCAGTCAGTACGGACATAAATGCATAAATAAAATAAAAATAGTTTTGTCAGGCGCAGTCAGGCATAACATTAAATTTCTCTTTTTTAAAAGCGAAAATATGCTTAAAAAATGTACAATGTATATCCAAAACAAAACATATTGGCTTTCGTGTTATTTAAATCTTACCGAGGTGAGTCAGACTGTTTCATTCAACTGTCCGATGTGCTTTCTCTTTAAGTGTTCATGCATCACCGAGGTGCTGCCGTGATACGCAAGGACTGCTTTGCAAATAATGCAGGTAAACCTTTTATTTGCAGAATCCAGGCTAAAATGCTCCCAAACTTTAGGTGTTTTGGTACGCGTAGCTGCTGTGTTGGACGCCACCATTTCTGTTTGTTGACGCTCAGCAGAGAAGCTATTGTGCATGTGCAACTCTCGGCAGATTGTAATGAAGTGAGATGCCTCACTCGGTCGGAAACAACATGTCTGGCGACAACGTCGACAATGAAATTCATTTTGGACTATTTCTATTGTCGATATTTGTCGACAACGTCGATGAATCATTGCAGCCCTACTGTAAAGATGAATAAATTGTAGTCATTTTGAAATTTGCTATGGCCTATAAGCTGCGGCTGACATTTTGAAATGGGTTGATTTAAATAATTACCTAGTTGTAGATGTATATGCAATGGTAACTCTCTGATAAATTCATTAAAATTTGCCCAGTGGTTTATGCAATTAATTGTTAACACATGATAAGGTTCACTTTGAAAGTTTCAATCAAAGATCTGGTGTTTAATAATAAGTGTATGTGATGGGAATGATGCTAAAATACTCTAGTAGGAGTTCAAAAACTGTACTATTGGCTGAGTTATAGGTATTTTTGTAATAGCTATGGTTAAAAACTCCTAGTGGCCATAATGAATTTGGTTAACTGCAAAAGTTAATCAGTTGTGGAAGTCCAGTTGACTATCTTAGTTTCTTTGAAATCCACCATGTAGTTCATGAGATATTTTGGTGTCAGACAGACAGATAGAGTTAAATCTACTGGCAAAAGTATAATTTAATTGCAAAGTGTAAAACAAAGTTTTGCACAGTTCTGCAAAAAGAAGGCTTTACTATTCAATATTTATCTAATTGTAAATATCCTAACAGGTGAATAAATAGTAATTGAATCAAACACCAATTTCAACTGTGAGACTATTGGTGAGTGCAAAAAGGGTGGAACTAATAAGAAATGTCTTTACTGTACTTGCATGAACAATGACCCTGTACATTTAATTAAACAAACATACTTGAGCCACTGACATGTAAAATGATCAAATACTGTATTGAAAACAAGAAATCAAAATATCAAAAATTAAGCAAGTAAAACATTATAGACAATGTGAAATATTTCTTTAGTCTAGTTATCCTGTTCCTGGTTTGTTTGCTTCTCTCTGCTGGTGTACCCCAAGGCTCTATTCTACTGTCTCATCTATTTATCATCTACATGTTTCCACTTGGCTAAATTTTTCAGAAATACAGCATACATTTTCACAGTTATGCAAATGTTCTATATATCATAATTCTCGTCCACTTTTTTCAAACAAAACTGTAACAAAATTGGAATTCTCCTTATAAGAAAGACCTCCACTTAACACAAATCACACAATGTGTCCATTAACATTGATCACCCTTCATGAGTCTGGGTGTACTTAAACTCCTACCCTGTCTACATACTTTCTTCCATGCAAGATTACTCGACCCCGCCCCTTTCTCACCCCCCACACTGCTGCCATCTGCTGGGATATTGGTCAACGAATAATTTGTAAGCTTTTACTTACTTTTTGGATTCTTCAATAAATTTGTAAATATGGAAATATTTACAGATTTATTAATTAATTAGGATATCCAGAGATATCCACGGGGCACCACCCCTTCTAACAGGGGAAATGAATCCAAACCTCTTATCAATTCTGTCTGAACGTTCCGTGAATCTTAACGAGCAGTTGAATTTTATATCACAAACAAATCCACTTGAAGACAAAACTTAATTGAATAACATTTATTAACTAATAATCACTTCAGCTCCTTCTGAAGTGTTTAGCCAATCAATATCAACCAACTTATTTTATCAAACAAATAACAATGGATCAACAATGGAATAATGAGACTGTAAAATAATCTGACCCAATGGATGTGTGTTTTAGCTTGAGTCCCCCCAAACACTAAAAACAAGTGTGTGTGTGTGTGTGTGTGTGTGTGTGTGTGTGTGTGTGTGTGTGTGTGTGTGTGTGTGTGTGTGTGTGGACTTTCAGCAGTGAGGTGATGCTGAAGGTATGTGTGAGCTGTGACTTTTTTTCCTCTCTCTCTCCCCACCACACTGAGAACCGGTGTGTGTGTGTGTGTGACTTTCCTTCTCAGATACAGACACAAAAGGGATTAGCTTGCACTTTAGACTCAATCACAGTAACTTAAACACTTCAAAGGTTAAAAAAATTAATAAACAACATAAAAGATCAATCATGAATGAATATCTGATAGTTTGTCAGCCTGGCCACAGCATAAACTAAGATATAAACAATGATTGAACAAAACGACTTACTCTCAAAACGATCCGATGGCGTTTTTGGTACGGAAGAGAGACCGTTTCTATTTTGAAGCAAGTCGCGCGGTGTGACTGCTTATTTTGAATTATATTAAGAGGAGCGGAAGAAAGAGAAATAGAGGAAAAAACTAAAGCTTGCGTGAGCGATCCCCAAGGCGTCCCTTTTGTGTTCGCGCTGCAGGTCAGATGGTTTCTCCGTTGATTTGATGGTTTTCCACTGTTTTCCAGCCAGGCCTCGTGCCTGAGTCCGGAGCTGTAGCAACAAACGTGTCCTCGCGCCATTCGAACTGGAACAAAAGAACGGTTTTAAGTTTTGTTTCGCTGGAATTTATAGCTTCCAGCTGTCGGGCTGAAACTGTGTGGCTCCCGCACATGCGCATTACTTGTTTTTGGATATTCGGCGCCGCTTCCGGGAGCAGGGAATCCTGGGAAATGAAGTTGTAGCTGGTGCTGATGTTTAAATATGCTCTTCAGAGCGCAGATGACAGTCTTTTGGAGAAATTACTGCATAGTAATTTCCTCATGAGGGCAGATGCTCCAGGGCAATTTTGGCACAGTCTTTTGGAGAAATTACTGCATAGTAATTTTCCCATGAGGGCAAACCCTCAACACATCCTTGGCCGCAGCATCGTCTCCTCTCAAATGGACTACTGGAACTTTCTTCTCTTCAGTCTCCCTCACACATCTCTTCACTTACTGCAGCTCCTTCAGATTGCCGCAGCACGGGTCATCACTCTTACTTCATTCAGAGAACACATCACTCCTGTTCCTCCATGTCTGCCTTTAGAATCCATAATCAGTTTTAAATGTCTGATTCTTTCTGTCTCCATATGAATGATTTTACAGTATTTCAATTGATCTATGGCATGTTTTGTTAGCTGGCTTTAAAAGGCACCGTCAAATAATATGCAATTTTTGATTTTTTTTAAATTATCATAATATTTTGTTTTTCCAATCAACTATTGACACATTAGATATTAGCCCAATATCTGTAAATATATAGCAATTTCTGTTTTCTAATGGTGATCAGCTGTGGAAGCCATCTTGAACCGGATTGGCTCTGAAAGTTAGTGTTTATCCAATAAATACTTTAATTAAAGACTGGTCCAGGTTATTTTTGCTAACAGGCACAGACACAGGCCAAAACAACAATAAAACAGAAAAATGGCTGCTTCCTAAGAAAATTATACACAATGAAACAACTCCTTAAACAAAACTAAATGAATAAATAATTTTAATGGTGAGGCAAGCCTTTAGACACCACTCATATAACTGCTTTTCACAGCGTATTTAACATTGGTGACTAACGGTGGAGACAAATACTCTTCATCTTGCACTCACACCTCCCTGAATCACTGTACTGAGTCAACTTTGTGCCTTCCCCATTAATTGCCTGTTTACAAGAAAAAGATGTGACAAAGATAAATAATCGTAGTCACCAGAAGATGCTGAATGTCACTGCAGGACCCTGGGCCTCACCTCTCTGCAGCACATGTACTGCTAGTCGATAAAGTCAGGCAGTGTCAGGTCAATTTATAAAGTGTGTTCAATCTGTGGAGAAAGTAACATCTGAGAGCAACGAATTATGGATTTTCTTCTGAAGGATACAAGATTTTCTGGTGGACTTTTATCTCTAGAGTATATTTATTACCAATAGTTGGGAAAAAATGGTAACATTCACTTTTAACTTTGAGTTAACTTCTTGTGGGGTCCATTAAAAGCAGAAAAACTAACCAGCTTGAGCAAATTTGTCATTTAATGAGTTTGATTATTAAACATTTTTCTGTCTTTTGCTCAGAGCATCAACATGATAGCACCCTGATCCAATAATTTTTCACAAGACTCTGACTAAAAGTCATTTGACTGTAAGAAATGCCACAGTGTTTCATGGGTAATGCAAAGGCAAATACACCTGCTGTTATCTTCCACTGAAAGCTTCTCCTGCTAAGATTTCCTTGGACTGAAAAGTGCTTGGTTTGCATTTTTCTTGATTTAGGCTCAGCTTATCTTAGGCTTATAGAGATGTCAGCAAAACCTTCTTTTAATAGCACAAGACTCATGACTCATTACCAAATGTAAACTTTACTGCTGAGGAGAGTGGGATAGGCTGGGGCTAAATTAGAGGGTGGATTCAACTTAACTAATTACCCTGCAAACTCAAACCCACCACCACCCCGCAGGAGTGGAGAGAGAAAACACTCAGACATGTTTATGTGCATTCTTAGAAATCTGTGAGCCTAGAAGCTATCATTCATAACTTTTCAACTGTTTTCATGTCAGCTGAATACTTTTTTAAACATTTATTTTGTAGTTTTCATTTTTAGGTAGTTTTCTCCTTCAGTTTAATCCACTGGAGTTTTAGTTGCAGTCTGTTTACATACCATTATTGTAGACATGAATGCATAATTCATGTGGAGACTTTGAAATAGTTTGATTTAATGAATTGACTGGGTTTTTTGGGGGTATGGTCTCTTCTTACCCCAAAATTCCACTATCTCCGCTCCGCTCCGGCACGAACTCCGCAGCAAAAACGGTCCCTTTGTAGTCAGTCAGAGCTGTTCCACTACTGCGGCCGTGCGGCGCAGTGCACCGCCCGTCGTTCCGCCATCCGGCAAAAACAGGATCAATTCTATTTTTTCCAGACACCGGAGCACCTCCGCAGTTAGTGGACAGAAATCACAACCGCCCAACAGGAAAGGGAGCAAGCATAACTTCCGTTATTTCACAATAAATTGATAAACAAAAAGCGTTTTTTTGTTTCATATGCACAGGTTTAACTACTTTTTTGGCGGTTGAACTTTAAATGCACAAATATAAGGCATAAATACAGTTTCTACTATCAAAGTACTCACCCATTGTTGATCCAAACACTGCTGATATCTTAACACAAATGATAGGCAGATTAAACAGTTCTGTAATGCCCTATACTATAATACCCTATAATACCAATGCCCTATACATTGGCACTACTGGTTACTGAGACGGTTGGTAGTCTTTAAGTGTGTTTAAAAGAATTGCAGCTTGTGTTTATTTCTGATGATGTTTCTTAATTTGTCTTCTTCCACAAAGTCCATGATCCATTCACTGCAGTTAAGGTGGTTTTCAATGAATACGTTACTTGCCCCATGACAGTCCGCAGAGTCCGTTACACACAGCCACAGTCCTCGCCACACAGTAAAAACTGCTTGTCCCGTCACAGCCACCACGAGTCTAATCTGCGTTGGCTTAAGTAGGCTGGTCCTTCCACAATCAATTTACCAATCAAATGATGCCAAGCCTCCTCTCAGTTATGCAGAAAGAAAATGAAAACAACACATATGGCTCCTACAAGTTCTTTTCGATGCTTCTTCCACACAATGATTTGTTTGGATCTAACTTCCGCATTTATTCCTCAGACTGTATCGCGAGGTCTCGAAAATCCCACGCATGTCTCTTTGCGCACCTCAGGTCTCTGCACCGGAGTGGAGCCGTTGTAGAGCGGGTATAGTATAATTTGAGTTCGGAAGCGAGCAGCGGCAGAAAGCGGGGGCGGAGCGGAGATAGTGGAATTTTGGGGTTATAGTGGGGCTGAGGTTGAGGTAGAAACGTATTGTTGGTTTACTTTTACTAATTGGAAACCAGGACTATTTGGAGTCCTTGTCCTGTTGGAATAGCCATGTGTCCAACTTTGAACCATTCAGCTGATGATTTCAGATGAACTTTATAAATTGGGAGGTAGCTCTCCTCCTTTTTCAATGAACCAGTACCACACCATGCTGCTACCACCACTCTGCCTGACAATATATATATTAAAAACTGGACAACCCGCTCTACCTTCTGAGCTACTTAAAGAGCAAGTAACGTCTAAATTAACTTTTTTTTGCTGATGAACTGTATAAATGAGTGTCTAATAGTGTTTTAAATGTGTGTATTCATTATTTTAGCATTTTGGTGCATTTTCTTTAAAAATTAATTTTTCAGCCTAAAAACCACAGTAATGCGCCACCTTCAGCTTAAAACACAGAATTTGACACATTTTGAATAAATTTTAGCCAATGGCTAAAGAGTAAGATACTACGTAAACCAGTAGAGTACTACGTAGCAGCTCTTGTGCCAAAGTTATAAAGCAACGAGAGTCTCGGCCACGCCCTGTGGCGAGTTGGGAGTTGGATTTGCAAGCGAGTGTAGGACGGTTAGCGGTAGTTCAGCATTAGCATATATCATTAGCATATTCTAGTCTTTAGCATAGCTTTTAGTGTTATACATACTTATTTAGTGTTAGCTTGGCTGTTAGATATTGTAGTTTAGTTAGTGTTTAGCTGTTAGTTTTATTAGGAAAGTAATTCAGGTTTAGTGTTACATATCGTTAGCATATATCATTAGCATATTCTAGTCTTTAGCATAGCTTTTAGTGTTATACATACTTATTTAGTGTTAGCTTGGCTGTTAGATATTGTAGTTTAGTTAGTGTTTAGCTGTTAGTTTTATTAGGAAAGTAATTCAGGTTTAGTGTTCCATATCGTGTTAGTATGGTTAAAAGGTGTAGTGTAGTTTGTTGTGGTGGCTCTGTGGGGTTGCACTCCTTTCCACTGGACTTAGAAATTAGGCGCCAGTGGTTGCGCGCAATCGGTGTACTGGAAAACAGTCAGCTCCCGCCTGGTGCTGTAGTCTGCAACCAGCATTTTACCCGCGATTCCTTCGCCAACATGATGGAGTTTGAACTGGGTTATTCTGCACGTCTCCGTTTGAAGAGGGAGGCCGTGCCCACCGTGGCTCTTCCACGAATTAGATGCAGCCCACCGACTCTGCTCCAACACCATGGCGGGCTCCAGTCTGAGGTGAGTAAGCTAAATAAAAGTTAGCATCTTCTAAAGACAATTTCCTACCTAAATGCAAAGTTTGAGAGACGTGGTTCACTCCATTTAGCTAATATCAGCCTGCACTGCCTTCGGGCTAATTTGTCAAGTTCACAAAATGTGGAACGGGATGTAAGGTTAGAATCAGCGGCGAATCGGAACATTTCTCAAAGCCCTGGCCGACAAAAAAGGTCCACTTGACTATTTCTGTCAGGCTCGGAGAAAATTCGGGTTGTTTTTGTGTCAGTCGGTAATTCAGCAACAGTGGCTCTAACGCAGCACTAGTTGACAGACATCATTACAGCGTGAAATCCAGCTTTACACCAAAGCCTAACCCGGTTCTGTGAGGAATTCTGTTCAGGAGGTCGCATTTCAGGTTCTTCACATCATATGTGACTGACTTTGACATTATAATAACGATCACACACTAGGAATGTTATAAAGCGCCTATATATATATATATATATATATATATATATATATATATATATATATATATATATATATATATATATATATATATTGGACAGTTTCTTTTGTATATTATATGACTTTATAAACTCCAACAACAATGTGCTTCTATTTTTTGTTTCAGGCTAAATCTACCCAAGACGTTGGCTGTCAGACTGATTTAGTAATCTGCAAAAATGCACTTGTCCAGGCTCATGTAAAGCCTTATCGACGTAGCAAAGGTGAATTATTTTTAATAATCTTCTATGTAAACATTTTATTATTACCTTCTAGTTTTAATTTGTTTTACAGATTATTGTTACACGTGATTTTATGCTATTTTAAACATTTATAAATGTGCTGCTTCTTTGTATTTTACATAGCCACACAGTTTAGAGCTCCCAGCCGCAGTGTGTCTTGTGACACAGGTACCGTGACGGAAATTCATCTTCCACAAAGTCCCAGAGCTGCGTCCACACCCCAAGGTGTCCCGTTTGTACCGGTCGTTGTGTTGTGAACACGACAACAGTCGGCACACTGCTCCGTGTGACACAACGGTGTTCATCCTGTGAGCACTACAATGAATGGTCCAGTCAGCCCATGGTGAACAGCATCCCAGCAGGAAACCTCCAGCTCTGTGCTGCTGTCCTTTTCACAGGCTCATCATTTAGCCAGATTTCTAAGGTATAGGCCAAAACTGTTTAGGTTAGTTTTGATAAGGTCTGTGCGTCTCTCATTTCATGTCGTAACTTTTCATATTTTAGTTCCTGGGTGCCTTCAATGTGCAGGGACTGTCCAAGCAGTCATTCTGTCGGCATCAGGCAAAGCTCTTAATTCCAACAGTGAGCTGGCAGTGGCAGCTAGAGCAAGCTGATATCATCCAGGAGGCTACTGAATCTGGACCTGTGACTCTTGGTGGTGACATGCAAGCTGATTCACCTGGTGAATACGTTTAAATTTATTTATTTTATTCCTTTGCTATCAAATGTAAATTAAGTAATAACTTGCATTTCTTGAAGGACACTCAGCCAAATATGGCAGCTACACCATGATGGATCTCAAAAGAAACAAAGTTATTGATATCCAACTTGTACAGGTACAACATTACCTGATGATTCCAAAACATTTAATGGTTAATTATTCACAGATCAATGGAGAATTATGTTTATTTTCAGAGCAATGAAGTTGGGAATAGTGTGCGAATGGAGAAGGAGGGATTTGTGCGAAGTCTGAGCACACTTTTGGAGAGGGGGGTCGATGTGCAGCAAGTCGTGACTGACCGCCACACAGGAGTGCAGAAGTATTTGAGGGAGGAAAAAAAGGAAATCAGTCACTACTTTGACCCCTGGCACATGGGAAAAGGTAATCTTTGGGGATGTATATAGTGAATATTACAGGATTTTTTTTTCTATTTTAAATGTGGGTCTATTTGGCTCTCCAGGAATTGGTAAGAAAATCGAAGAGCTGGGGAAGAGAAAGACGACCCAGGATGTGAGACTGTGGAAGCAAAGTGTGGTGAACCACCTCTACTGGTCAGCATCCAGTTCCTCCTCAGGACAGGAGGCAGTTGCAAAGTGGACTTCAGTTGCCAACCACATCCAAAATGTGCACAGCCATGACAACGCCCTGTTCCCTAGCTGTCTGCATGCACCTCTGGATGGAGAACAGGCAAGACAGTGGCTCAAACCAAGTAAGTGTAGCATGTACTCATTACAGCTGAGCCTTTACTGTTTGGTTTATTTACATTTAAAACACGTCACCCCACAACAGAATATTTGTCTTCACCTCCTTCAACATGGAGAAATATTTTTTGAGCATGTGAGTAACAGACATCACATGTAGCTGCTAAGGTCACACACCACCATTTGGCCAACAGCAATTAATTACTAAGAATAAAATGCTGTGCAGAAATTTAAACACACGAGTGCGCCACACAACTCATGGTTTTAGGCAGAACAGCCATAATTGACATAATATGTACTAAAATGCCGTAAGTAATGACCACACCTGTCTACAGCACTATTAGTCACTCTTTCATACATTTGTCATCTAAAAATGTCAGCTATGGGTAACTTTTTCTCAATGGAAATAATAGCAACATTCTAAAGTTGATCAAATTGTAATTTTTGTAATTAACATTTTCTACGTAGGCACAGCATCATGTGAGAAGCTCACTGCCATTCTGTTAGCTCCACGGTTTGTGAAGGACGTAGAGAAGATAAGCCCTCAGTACCACACATCCACCTTGGAGGCTTTCCACAGTCTCATCATCAGATTTACTCCAAAAAGTCAAGTCTTCTCCTTCAAAGGAATGCTGTCTAGGTAATGAATACAACAAATGTTCAAATTAATGCCTCTAATTGTTCAAATTTTAGCATGAAATGTAGAATTTTGCCTCAAATCTACATGGTTTGTTTATTTGATTATTTCAGATTACAAATTGCTGCAATGCACTATAATGAAAATGCAGCACGCTCACATGCAGCAACAGCAACTGGTGAGCTGAGATATGCTGTAGTGTACCCAAAGTACAAACATGGAGACTACACAGTGAGAGCCCTGAAGACCAATCCAACCTCATGTATGTCATATATTGTATGATAAAACCAAAATGATGGTCATGGAGAGCTATTGTAATACTGAAAACCCTTTTCCAGTATATGTGCACAAGCTTATGGACCTGCTGTTCGACTCTGTGGTGGTGGATCCTCTCCCATATCAGGAGTACTCGGACAAAATTACGGTTCCAGAACCGCTCTGTGCCCAGTTCCAAAGACCAGATAAACGGGATGCTGTGAGCAGGCACAGGTCCAGGTTTTAAAGTGCACGTCAGGTGAGCTACACAGGAGATTGTAATTATTAGTTAGTACTCTACTCTGTGTGGTTTCTCCTTTTCTCCTCCTCAGCCAGGCTGCACACCACTGTACGACAGAGGAGTTACCTGTCGTCATTATGGATCTTTATGCTCATCCACTCGTGACTCATGCTGTCCACCTCCCAGATGTCTATTGATCTCTACAACCTTTCTGCTCTGTGGCTCCCATACAACTTGAAAATCTTGGCCGTATGTAACATAGCAAAACTCACCAGTCTTGCTTTTGTAAGTCATACTAGTCATACTAATATTACTTTTTCCTTAGAGCCTCCTGATCTTGTAACAGAAAAACCTGTGCTCCCGGGATCCATCTCCACGTTTGTCATCACAGTGAAAGCTACCTCCAGTCTAAGGAACCTATGAAACATCACTGTTGGCCCAACCTCTCCTCACATGGCTCCAGAATCTCTGCTTGTGGTTTAGAGTTTTGTCAAAAATCTTGAAAGTTATGATCAGATTGTTATCTAACATTGTCTTAGTAGTAGCTATAATAAATGTTATCTTTAAAGCGCAATTGTGTCTTTTTAAATACAATTATATTGATATTTTGATGTGTATAAATACATATATCACATTTATTATCATTCATTTTTACCTAATTGAACCTGCTCTAGAATAGACTTCATTAATCACACAGGGTGTAAACTCACTTGTTACAGCAGCATTAATTAACCCCGAATTAGAACCTTACTGTTGTAAGAGCTCATTTGAAAGTATGTGGCTATATGTGTGTATATATAAATAATGTCAAAGTGTAAAGAAGTGCATTTACCGTTTTGTGATTTATGCAGCTTTTTATGGACAGGAATCAATACAGGAAATATATATTATAACATTTATTTAATCAAAAAAATATATATTAGTTCAGAGGAGGGAGGAATCCTTTGTATGCACCGTCTTCTGGGAACTCCTGCCTTATTCTGGAGACAGCGCATGACGGGATCACAACACGAACGTGCTGTCCCAGGTAACCCCAACACCACCTGACCACATTCCGGTACGCCAGATGTCTGTAACAGCTGAGAAAGAGGTGGTATGAGTTATAAAGTATTCATAAAAAAAGTAATTTGACAGTTGTCTTACCTGTTGAGCGTAGTCTCCTGCATCTCCCTATAGAGTTGCAGAAAGGTGCCATAAACTGCCTGCAACACGTAGGGATTCAGAGCAACAGCCTCAAAACCAGGATGCTCTGTTATGCAGGAGGTTACACCCACCTGCTGACACCTGAGCATTACCTATGACAAAGAACAACTGATATCAGGTCTATAAGAGTTCAATATTAGTATGATGTTAGTGATTGTGTAACAAATGTGTACATTACAGAATGCTTTTCTCATGGTGGGGTACTTTTATTTTTATACCTTGGGCGTTTCTCTGCAGCACACATTTTCTCTGGCAGACAATGATGTGCAGTGGCCGCAGGTGCACCTGTCGAGGCAGTCATACAATATTACTTTTAGCTAAGCTAAATATAGCTAGCTGTGGCTAAAAGCTACTTACCACTCAGAGACTGGACCCATTCGATGCCTTGATACTCCTGCTGGCTCGACTCCAGGGGCCTCTGACAACTCACGAGCTAGTGGCTCAAAAAGATACGGTTCAGGACCGCTTGCTTCCCCCAATAAGCCCTCCTCCCTATCCTCTGGGGAAGAAGGTGGGGAAACGTCCTCCACCTCGAATGACTGCTCTGAGCTAGTGTCGCTCTCCGTCGCCATCTGTATTCAAATTTCAGTATGTCAATCACGGTCGTAGCTCCGCCTTCTCGGTCTTACAGGAAACGCCTCTTTGGGCCGCATTTTTCAAATATGAAATGTGGGTGGAGTAAGACTCTGAGGAGGCTGTTACCACTACTTTAACCAACCTTTCCTCCTGGTGGTTGGAGGGTCCGGTGTTGCCAGTGTTCAGAAGGCCTCATCTCTGTCAGTACGCCCCAGGGCAGCTGTAACTACATTGTAGCTCATCCCCACCAGCGTGTAAATGTATTAAATGGGTGGATGACTGATTGTGTTGTAAAGTGCCTTGTGGGGTTGTATAATCCTAAGAAGACTTTATACAAATACAGGCCATTTACCATTTATACAGTATATTAAATTGTGAACTTTTAGCAATTTTCTAAGGTGGAATTCTCATACATTGTCACCACTATTTGGTTACATGTTTCTTAGCAAGTTTGACCCTGACCAAATGTTCCTGTTTGCTGTTATTTTTATATTTATATTTCAGAAGCTAATGTAATCTGTTCTGATGTGTGTTTGAGGTCATCATCCTGTGACCATTGCCCTGTTGGAACTCTTAACTGTGTCCAATGTTCCACCATCTCGCTGCTTATTTCAAGTGATGTTAAAGAATTTGGAGGAAGTTCTTTTTCATTACGACCCTCTCAGTATAACACTGATGCGCCACCAGTTTGCAGTTCTCAGTGTGCTTGATATGATGTGATTTGCCAAAATGCTTCAGTTTGGTCTCATCTGGCCAAAGGACATTGTTCTAGATGCTTTGCAGCTTGTCAACATGCATTTTGATCAAGATCGAGGTTCTTTATTACCCCCTAGGGTCAACTGGTTTCAGACCAGTAGTGGTTACAACATGCATGCTACAAAAAAAATCACACTGTAGAGATAAAAGATTTCTTCTGTCTTTTGGTCCTGCACCTTAGCAATCATCTGCATGTGGTCGATAGCAACCGGAACTTATAGTGAAGGACCAACAGACTTTTGGCTAACTCTACTTTGCTCTGAATTAATGTTGGGCTGTAAACCTCAAGTTAGATGTGGAAGAAGAGGAAGGGGAATGAAACGGAATCCTAGACCACTCCTGGTTCAGTCTTGGGCTGCATCAGACCTTTATTATAAGCTCTCTTTGTTGATCCCGCTTGCCCTGCAGGGATGGCTTTCAGCTCCTTCCAGAAGAGGAGGTGGGAGCTACAGCTGTTCAAATTTCTAAATCACCTCCTCTTCCTCCTCCTCTCCTTGATGATGTCACACCATGGACAACAGCTTTAACCTCGGAGTTGACCTCTAACCTCTTTAAAAGTTAGGCTCTTTGGTTACAATATGTCTTTTTAGAATCTGTAATGTGTCATCGGTTTTTGTGTTATGGACTCATCCATGGAATTTGTCTCCCTACCTTCTGAAATATATGTCTCCAGAACATCAAACTGCTTAAACACAATCTTTCAACCCTTTCCTTTCAGTGACAATAACTGTCTTTCTAATCTCCCGAGACGTTGATGGTCCATTTTCAGTGTGGTGCACACCCTGCTGCCAAACAGCGCTGTGACTGTCTCTTTATTCCTTGTGTTTTAAAGGTGCATTGTGTAGAAATGAAGTAAAAATTACATCCTGTGATAAAACTTGGATACTGCGACAACTTTAAACAACTGTAGAGCTTTTTTGCCAGCTGTCATCAAATTACTATTGGTAGTCATGGCCTTTAAACAGACTGACTGAATACAGGATGTATGTTAGCCTAACATGTCCTTATGGTCAAAGTAGCTTCAGGCAGTTTTAGGGATACCACTGTTTTTGTCCACGTATGTTTCAGTTGAATTTTTTATGATTACTTTGTTGAGCCATTATTCAAAAGCAAAATCTGATCTTCACTTCACTTCATTTTCAGTCACTTTCTACTTATTACTTTTGTCAGTTTAAAGTTATCTCAGTGAGCATGTGGGGGTTTTCTTTTATTTAATGAAAGGGTTCTAGCTATTTTAATTAATGTCTACATTTCTCTGTTTTGAAATAATAATTGGTGTTAGAAATAATTATCAGAATAGCCATTTCACCCTTGAAATGCAAAAGAAAATTGTTCAAGTCAATCATTAGAAGTTCCATTTCCACAAATACAATGAGATTGTTTCAACTTCTGTGTAAATATTATTGTGCAGGTCTTCATTTTCTGACATTGTTCTCTGCGTTCAGTATTGTTGCCTAATGATGCTGCCGGTGTAACAAAGCTGAAATAGCCAGCTTCCTGTCAGCGAAAAGTATAATGACTAAACCCTTTGATCCGAGAGTTGTTGCCCCGTCGGGCTTAAGGATGATGTAGGTGAAGACAAAAATCCCTGTGATTTGGCCATTTACCAGCAGACAACTGGAGATAAGCACGACCGAGTGCTGCTGTGGTGCGCAGCTCCCATCAGAACTCTTATCTTGTCTGAAGTGACACATCTCAAGGTTTGCTGGTGGCCCCTGAACTGTTTCTCTCTCTCTCTCTCTCTCTCTCTCTCTCTCTCTCTCTCTCTCTCTCTCTCTCTCTCTCTCTCTCTCTCTCTCTCTCTCTCTCTCTCTCTCTCTCTCTCTCTCTCTCTCTCTCTCTCTCTCTCTCTCTCTCTCTCTCTCTCTCTCTCTCTCTCTCTCTCTCTCTCTCTCTCTCTCTCTCTCTCTCTCTCTCTCTCTCTCACACACACACACACACACACACAATTAGGGTTCAGCCAATCATGCATATTGATTTTACTTAATCTGATTGATTTTATCTGTTGAACATTTGCTCTAAACAGAATATGTGATACAAATAGATTTTAATTAAAAAAAACACTTTCAATAAATACATTTTCATCCTATTTCGTTTTAATCCAGCTCAGTTAGTTTAATTATGCAGTTATTCGTTTTATGTGCATCCATGTTTTTCATTTAGCTATCAGTTGTACGTTCTACTTTTAAACATCAGTAATCGACGTTACCCCATCTTCTTTAAAAGTAGGCCTTAATCCATGCGCTTCGCGCTGCAGCAGCAGCTTCTCCAAAACTGAGGCAGCTTGACAAATTTCCATGCACAGAGTCTTGACCTCTCTCTCCATAGCAGTGTCAGACCCATCTCTAAAGTTCCGTTCATCTCCAAGATCGTGGAAAAGGTTGTGGCTAAACAACTCACAGCTGCTCTTGATGAACATAACATCTATAACAGGTTCCAGTCAGGTTTTCATAGAGCTCATTCTACTGAAACAGCTCTTCTTGGGGTCTCTAATGACCTTTTGACTCACAGTGATGCAGAGGACTGTTCCGTTCTGGTCCTGCTGCACCTGACGACAGCCTTTGACACTGTTGACCATCGAGCAGGGTCCAGCCAGTCGTGGGGCATTTCTTCTTGGGCTACAGAAACGCCTTAATGGGGTTGCTGTAACTAATCACAAACCAATCAGAATGAGCATCAAAATATGTTATTTTCCCTGCTACATTTGTCAAATTAAAAGTCTGTACTAACTGATCATGTTGCACCGCCGTTGCAAAATAAAAGCCCCCACAGCTATAAATTTAGTTGGTTTTGTTTAAGATACTGTATTGACTTCAACTTGTTCTTTCTGTTTTGGATCTTTATTCCGGGTTACTGTTGGCCGCAGCCCATGCCTTAACTCCAGGAAAAACAATGTTGACACTCTCCATTCAAACTAGCTCGTTTCGCTTCCTAAACAACCAAACTGGAACTCTCCACACAACGGGCCAAGAACACCCCCTTCAACACAAAAGTTCCACCATTACAAATCGTAACCCATTACACTATTTTTAAACAATGAAAAAGTGTGAAATATATAGCCTATGTTTGCGAACTTATGCAAGCCATAATCATTGTTTGAAATTAATTTAAATATCTGAAATGTTTAAATTTTACATTATTTTGAAAAGCCACTGGCTTTTTCCTGTCTAGCTGCAGTGCTTCGGGTGAGCTTCTCATGAGAGATAGTCCTGTAGAGGAGAAAAGCCTGTGTCCCACCTTATTTGACAGTCTCCCATATCGAGTTAATTTCTTGTCTCCAGTTTCGAGTTTAATATTTGTATAAACTGTGGATAAAGCAGGGGGTGTGACTAAACGCAGGTTCGGAGAGCGTGGAGCGTGCTCACGTCAAACCAGCAACACAAAATGAAAGGGCAGGGCGAGCACTGTCAAGGTCTGAGGCATTTCCCCACAGTAATCTCTACCAAGTCATCACTCCTGCAGGTGGGCGGTTCCAAGGAGCAACTCGGCTGCAGCCACTCTGCTGCAATCACCGGCCGGCTAAAAGGGGAGCAGTCTGAGAACTACACAGCGTCGGATGATTTACTTTGTTTGGGCATTCGACCAAGTCTTGAGCTTTAGTAAATGACTTCTTGTGTTTGTTTTTTCCCGCACCTCCTGTGACTGCTATTCTTTTGCCGCAGATATTACTCCACATCATCTCTCCAGCCATAGCCCAGTGTTTGGGCTTTCTCCTGCAGTGTAATCTGGCTTTTGAGCATTCATCTGCCTCTTTTTCGTCAGATCTGGCTTTCATACATAATTGGGTTACTTCGGGGTCGAGTTTTACAGTGGGCAGAGGCAAAAAGCCGGAACCCAATTTTTTTTTACGGGCCACTCTTTCTACCTTTATGAAGGATTTCAAGTTAACATTCAGATGTGAGTAACATCGTTCTGACGATTCTAAGCAGCTCTGGCGTCAGTCCATTACTGAGTTTGCCTTGCATTTTAAAACCATTGCTGCGGCCTCTACCTGGAATGAGGACTCATTAACGGGAGCTTTTCAGGAACCTCTGAACGATAGAATCAAAGACCAGTTGGCCCTCCGTCCCGAATCACAGAACCTAGAGGAGCTCATAGCACGGGCCACCCTAATAGGCCGACGCCTGAGAGACTGATTCAGGAGTTCCCACACTAACCCGCCTTCATCTCCACCTTCCTCGTCTCGAACACCCCCTGCACGGGCCACTCCCATGGAGTATGAGGAACCAATGCAGACTGGCAGGATCCGACTCAGCCTGGAAGAAAGAAACAGGTGAATGTCCTCCACACTCTGCCTCTACTGTGGACAACCTGGACATTTTGCCTTCCAAAGCCCAGACAAGCTAAAATGGAGAGCCCACCAGTACAACCGGGAATACAGGTTAGTGCCAGTTCTGACAATTCATCCTGGTGTTTGCTCTCGTTTCATTTCTTTCTCTCAACACAGCCTCCCCTTACAAGCTCTAGTGGATTCAGGTAGTGAGCAAAATCTCCTGGATCAAGCTGTTGTAAACAAGCTCCAAATCTCCACGGTTCTTCTACCTACACCCTTTCAGGCCTCTTCCTTGGACAGAACCCCACTCTCTCCTATCACCCACCAAACTGTTCCCATTACCCTTCGAACCTCAGGTAACCATCACAAACAGCTAACGTTTTTTTGTGTTTACATCCCCTCAGTCTCCTGTTATCCTTGGTCACCCCTGGCTCGTCCCTCATAATCCTCACATTAACTGGAGATCTAACAGTGTGGAATCCTTGAGCCCCCGCTGTCTCAACACCTGTCTGCGAGCAGCCACTCTAACCCCCTCGGACTGCCCCAGCCCCCCAGTTACCCAACCGGACATGACAGGAGTTCCTCCCAAGTACCACGATCTCCATCAGGTGTTTAGTAAGGACAAAGCCTCTTCTCTTCCCCCACACCGAGCACTTGAGTGTTGCATTGATTTGCTCCCCGGAGCCACGCTCCCTTCGAGTCGTCTGTATGAATGAATGGATGCATGGAAAGATACATATCACAATCATTAACCTCAGGAATTGTGAGACCTTCCACAACCCCTAGGTGCTAGATTTTTCTTTGTCTCAAAGAAAAATGGTTCCCTTCATCAGTGCATAGATTACCGGGGTCTTAACCAGATCACTGTAAAGAACAGGTATCCCCTACCGTTGTTGTCATCCACTTTCGAGCCAGTTCAGAATGCAACTGTGTTTACCAAACTAGATTTCGTAACGCCTATCATTTAGTTTGAGTGCACCAGGGAGACGAGTGGAATACCTCCTTTAAGACTCCACTTGGTCATTTTGAGTATTTAGTAATGCCTTTCGGGTTAACCAATGCCCCGGCTGTTTTCCAGGCACTTGTGAACTCAGTGCTGGCTGACACCATCAATAAATTCATGACAGTGTACCTTGATGATAAACTCATCTTTTTGAGAACCTTTTCAGAGCATCATCAACACGTATGAGCCATCCTACAGAGACTCCTGGAGAACAGACTGTACGTGAGAGCAGAGAAGAGCGAGTTCCATGCACCATCCATAAGATTCCTAGGATTCATCCTTGAGAGCGGGCGGCTGAGAGCAGACCCTGAAAAGGTCTAGGCGGTGCTGGATTGGCCCGTACCATCTTCCCGTAAACAGCTACAACAGTTTTAGGGATTTGCCAATTGTTACCACAGGTTTATAAGAAACTACAGCCAAACTGCAGAACCTTTCCCCTCTTTGACCTCCATCAACAAACCCTTCATTTGGAATCCGTCTGCTGCTGCCACCTTTTCTGAACTCAAAACCCTCTTTACCAACACTCCAGTGCTCACTCGTCCAGATCCCTCGAGGCAATTCACCCTGGAGGTGGATGCCTCTGACACCGGGGTTGGAGCGGTCTTGTCACAAATTTGCTCCTCAGATAATTCAATTCAATTAATTTAATTCAATTCTATTTTATTTTATTTATATAGCGCCAAATCACGACAAGAGTCGTCTCAAGGCACTTCACATAACAAACATTCCAATTCAGGTCAGTTCATTAAGCCAATCAGAAAAAATGTTTCCTATATAAGGAACCCAGCAAATTGCATCAAGTCACTGACTAGTGTCAGTGACTTTACAGCAATCATCATACCAAGCAAGCATATAGCGACAGTGGAGAGGAAAACTTCCTTTTAACAGGCAGAAACCTCCAGAGGATCCTGGCTCAGTATAAGTAGCCATCCATCACGACTCACTGAGGATCGAGAAGACACACACACACACACACACACACACACACACACACACACACACACACACACACACACACACACACACACACACACACACACACACACACACACCAAGCAATGTTGCACCCTTGTGCTTTTTTCTCCCATCGCCTGTCCCCCGCAGAACATAATTATGATGTCGGGGACTGAGAACTACTACTGTCTATCAAGATGGCTTTCGAGGAATGGAGACACTGTTTGGATGGGTCCGAACACCCAGTCATTGTCTGGACGGATCACAAAAACGTTCAAAAAGGCATTTCCCCACAGTAATCTCTACCAAGTCATCACTCCTGCAGGTGGGCAGTTCCAGGGAGCAGCTCAGCTCAGCCAATCTGCTGCAATCACTGGTTGGCTATAAGAGGAGCAGTCTGAGACCTACACAGCGTTGAATGATTTAGTCTGGGTATTTGACCAAGTCTCGAGCTTTAGTAAATGACTTGTGTGTTTGTTTTTTCCC